TGAAATAAAGCACAAAACTCTGAAATGTTTGACGTCTACCAGCGTCTCATTTTTGGCAAACTTTCCAACACATGAGCTGAGGGCTCGGTGGTGTTTGTTCTGATCCGTGCATTATATCTATGTGTGTTTGCATCGCTGCAGGTCGGTGGATGAGTTCTGTTGTTCTTCTGGCTTTCACTCTGACCACCTGACCTCCTGCACGCATCAGATCTCCTGCAGCATCTGTCAGCGACTCCCTACCAGAGGCCTCGGGGAGGCGGCGACGGCGGCGGCTTGGGAGGTACGAGTTCACATCCCATAATCCACCGACGCCATCAGGATTATTAATACGTTGACATGAGCTACGTCAAGGAGCCAAAGTCATTCCTTTGTTCCAACCTGTTGCTCTGTGCATCTCGAGATTATCTGTCGTTGAACAACTTGCAGCACATGAATGTATTTGTCTTTTTATTAAAGCGAGGACGACACACCGGTAGTTTACGACAGCTCACAAGAGAAGTGCAATTAGCTACTGTGCAGAAAACTTATATTCATATTTATAAAACCTCATCTTTTACATACATCTCAGCTAACGTCAGACTCCGACTACAGGAGTTTGGAGCTGATTTATTCCCTTTTCCCCCGTCCAGACAATCTGCTCTGAACTAATGTTGAGCCCAGATTATTTAGTGATGGGAGAAGCTTCACAGATCAAGTCTGGAACCTCCTGAACGGCCACAAAATCACAAGTTAAAATCGGATATATCTGTTTATCACGCAAGAGTTGGATGTTTAACGTCGCTAAGGTTCCTAAAATTGTGATATTTCATCAAAATCACTTTATTCTTCAAGTCACATTTTAAAAATCTGCCAAAAACGAAACCCTTTTCCTTAAAAAACTCAAACACGTGTTCATATGTGCTCAGAGAAGCAGTGCTAAACATGCTAGCCCCCCGTTGCTAGCGTTAGCTCCAGATGTCAAAACTGATGCTTGAAATTTAGCATCTCCTCCAACACTGTCTCATCCAGACTGCTTCAGCTTTTCTGTCTTTCTTTTTTCTCACTGTAAAGTATTATTAGAGCTACAGACAGTTTTTGCAGCGCGGTCTCCGTTCTGTTTCCATCTGTTTCCCCCTGAGAGGACGTGAGGTGTTGCTCCGCTCCCTCTGGCACGATCACCTTAAAAATACCACAAACTCGTTCATGTGCTCTCGTTTTCTAATCTCGCAGAAGAGCAGAATATAAGAGGTGGAAGTTTGTTGTGCAGAAACCTCGTTTACTGGAAGCACCATGATGTTAAACTGAGTCTAAACGTGTTCCGGTTCTGTTTGGAACAGAAACTACAACACAACTCGTACACTATTTGCTACGAAGGCCGCTTTGCTTTTGCAACCTGATGTGACAATCTGTTTTTTGTGCAGCAGTAAGTTAAGCAAACACACTCAGAGCACAAAAAGCTGCACAAAAACCCTAAAAAGCTGCCAGAACACAGCATTCTCTCTCCAGGCGCTGTGACGCCCTCCTGCCTGACATTCACTATTCACTACCGGACCCGTGTTTATCTGAAGTCTGCGTGCATACGTCTTTGAGAGCAGCAATCAGAGTAGAGGTGACACCGACACAAGTGTGCGTCTGATTTGGCGGTTCCCTTTCCGCCGTCCTGTCGTGTGCTCTGTAATCTCCAGGAGGCTGATACGAGCAGCGGGACCAGCTGCCTCTCTGGGGGCCCACGCTGCCTCTGGAGGACCCTTCAGGGCCGGAGGATGAAGGTGAAGCTCCAGCATGTCGGCCTGTTTTCGCGCAGGACAGCTAAATGAAAATTGGGCTATCAAAAGCCAGCTGCACTCTCTCCCCTCGGCTTGTACCTTCGGTGACGTCGGCGCCTCCCCGAGGTGCCGTGTGGATATTTTTGAGGTGAGCTGTGTTTGTCTGCACCTGCTTGGCAGAGGTCGAGAAAAAAAACGACTTCATGTTGTTTTTCTCGTGAAACCTCAGAGCTGGAGGGTGAATGCAGCGTCACAGAAAGACACTCGTCATGTGCTGTTAATCATCAGTCTACAGGTGCATCGGCTCACACGTGTGTTTTAATCTGCACTTTGTAAACACATTAACCCTCTGAACGCCGAGCAGGTTCTGGACGTTGCTTTGCTCCTGTCACTGTTGGCTCATTTGTCACTACGACATCCATCCATCCATCATCTCTACACCTTAATCCTCACTAGGGTGGTGGGGGGCTGGAGCCTATCCCAGCTGACTCAGGGTGAAGGCAGGTTCACCTGGACAGGTAACCAGTCTATCACAGGGCTACACTTAGAGACAGACAACCAAGCACACTCACATTCACACCTACGGACAATTTACAATCACCAATTAACCTCAGCATGTTTCTGGACTGTGGGAGGAAACTGGAGAACCCGGAGAGAACCCACGCTGCACGGGGAGAACATGGAGACTCCACGCAGAAAGATCTCGGGGGTCCTCACCGGGACGCCACCTAGCTGTGAGGCCACGGTGCTAACCACCGACCTACCGTGCCACCCTCACTACAATATAAACCAGGGAACCAGAACAAGCATGACTAGAAGTAGAGAAGACTCAGAAATATGGTTTGTGCAGCAGAACAAAGTTAAAACGCCATAAAACCAAAAAAAGAAAGAACAAAAGTTCAATTGTTTGATTATTTGTTTTACAAGAAAAAAATGGGATCAACGTGTTCCTGGTTTGTGGCCACAGGTGTTACTGATACTGGAGAAAGAAGAAAAAAACAAAGATCTACACAGAGTTTCATTTCTATGCTCGACTCTGATCTTCAGACCAGTTCACTCAAATCGTTCATGAGTTTTGTGATGCGTCTGTAGCTCACAGCCGTTAATGGCTTCATGACTGTGAAACACAGAATTCAATGTTTTTTATAGATTCTTGTTGATGCAAAATGGAATTCTGCGGTTTTTTAAAATGAGTCACTTAAATAATAAAGTGATTTTTATGAAACGTCACGTTTTGGAGCTTAGATCTGATTCTGTTTTCTGACACCACAGATGTTCGAGGATTGTCTGAAAGCTGAAAATCTGCAGAATCTTTCAGGTTTTACGGTTTCTGATTCAGATAAATGGGGTAATTTTGCCATTTTTTAAAAAAGAAAACCGGTTTTGGGATTTAGAGCATAAAACTTTTAGACAAGTTTAGATGTGAAAGTGAGTGCATCGACTGGATAAAATAAAGAAAACATAACAAATCACTTTTTCACAGATCGAATACATTCATTTAGATCAGTTCAGCAAATTCAGAGCCTCTATTTAACTTGGTGATTAACAATAAAGAGCCACACATCAGCATGCACACCTGAGAGTAACGGCATCGCTGAGAGTTCAGTTCGGTTCGATGCTGCATCTGAAAGCAGCACAAACTCAGTTTATTAAAGGTCATGAGGTTAAAGAGCAGCAGGTGAATGTGCTCCTCCTGCTGACGATGCTGCCTCCACTCGTGGTCCAAGCTTCGGGTCACAAAGCTCCGGATTTGGCGCCGCTGATGATACAGTATTGTCAGACCGGCTCGAGGATTGTGCGTTTGTTTGTGCAACTTCTGAACAATGTGCGGTTCTGCTGCCGCCGCGGCTGCCATGTTCCCACTGCAGCCCCTTTGTGTTCGCTAATGGCTAATCAGGAAACAATGGCGGAGCAGCGCTGCCATTCTTTGTGAATTGACAAGGGTCATTTGTTGGCTTGGCCGTGCACGGCGCCGCGGGACGGTTCTGGGGCTTTCCAGGCAAACCGAGATGAGGTCAGACTTCCTCCATCTCCTCTGTTTCCACTCATCTGCTGCTGCGTGAAGATTAAGTCAGAGGAAGTAAATGGGACAGAGAGGCAGCTCTGGGCAGCAAGCAGGACGTCAGGAAGAGTCTTCATGTTCTTCAAAATGACACCTGAAAACACTGGTGGAAGAGTCCGATCTCCCAGAGTGCACTTTGACCAATAGGTCAGTATTTTATGTAATAGATTACTGTGGGTGGCTCGATGCTGAATGACCCGATGAACCCGGAAAACCTCGCTGATGATGTGACGAGACGCTTCAACATGACGCACAAGACAGCAACAGAAACACCACGACAAAGTAAAATAAGGAAAACACGTGAAACCTGCAGCTCCACTGACTGAACATGCAAAGCTGAGGCTGTTTCAGTCTGTGCCGGTCACATCCTGCACTAACACCTGTGCAGAACCTCTGCTGGCCGTCATACCAACACGTGCTGCATTCGTCCTGTAATGTGCAACGTTTCTCCTCCGTCTGATGATCCGTTTAGTGTCGAGGACGAGAAAATGGCTTCGATGTAAACGTTAAGGGAATCAGTGTGAACAGGACGCACCCAAAACCAAGAAAGTGAAATAAATAGGAAACAACAGCAGCTAAATGAACAGACAGGGTTCACAAAAGGACTCATTTAACACATCTTCTGCTGTGTACTGGAGGAGGTGGGTTGGTATCTCCTCAGTAACACCTCAGCAGTTTGATGGATCATGACTCCGTCTACGTCGAGTCCTAACTGAATTTTCTCGGCGCACTTTGCTTTTCAAGGCCACAAACTCTGATGGGATTCTGCGTTTTCCTTCTACTTTCTAAAAAATGTGTGGCCAACGGAGGAGACACACATTTGTCCCGACACAAGCTGTTTTCCTGATAACATCTGACGTCGTCCGACTGCCTCCCTGATATCCATCTGACTCTGCTGTAGAGGCGGGACGACGACACGAGGGGTCGACGACCTGAGATAACCCCCAGCATAGACTCACACACCTCCAGACGACTAATTGGACCAGAAACATGAAGATATTTGAGTTGAGATGAGCGGCACTCGATTCCAGCAGTCGTGGAAAAGTGGAACCAGGTTGTGTGCATCAGTCGTGTCGGTGTGAAGCCACCGATATGCAAACGAACACGCTGCCCTCCAGCTCCACTGTGTGTCTGCTTGCTGTGATTTCCCTCGTGTGTTCGAGCGGCTTGTGTTTGTTTTGTGTTGCTCTGACCTGCAGCAGCTCCTCCTGGTCGCCGCCCACCTCCAGCGCCACGGCGACCGAAGCGAAGGGACGACTGGCCATCTGCTGTCGCTCTCTCATCAGCTGCTGCACACAGAACAGAACAGGGACAGAAGAGGGTTTTTAAACATCTTGTTTTTAACTCCAGCACACATTGTCATTCACGCAGAGTCGGACCGCGGCTCCGCCGGGACCGGCTGGAGGTGAAGCGCTTTGCTCAAGGGCGTCTGGACGAGGAGCTCCTGCAGTACTCTCATCTGGACCGCAGGTTTCACAGCAACAACAGTCGTCCTGCTGTTTAGACGGACAGCCGAGTGTGATTCAGTCATAGAGGGATGATAAAAAGATGACAAGACAAAGAGAGCTGAAGAGTGAGAATTAGGAACAGAGAAGACAGACTGTAAAAAAAATGTTAAAAAAATACTAAAAAAGCTTTTTTAAGTGCATTTTTTAAAAACCTACTGTTATTTTACAGATTTTTTTTCTTGTTTTGTTAAACTACAGATAATGACTAATAAAATCACAGAAAAAAATAGAATTTAAACCAAATAAAAATACACTTTTTTAGATTTTTTTTTTGTGGCAATGTTTGACACTAAAATGACATTTTTTAAAACACTCTATTTATTTATTTGTTTATTTATTTATTTATTTATTTACTTACTTTTAACCTGTATAATTATTTTAAATATATTTGCTGCAATTTGAGAAAGAAAAAAAAAATCAGTATGTTATTGGTGAAAAAAAATCAAAAATAATAAAATAAAATAAATAAATAAAAATACAATAAAAGTTTGCAATAACAAAATAAAAAAAAATCATTTTTAATTTTTATTTTACAGATTTTTCCTGATAACATCTCGTAAAATCCTCCATTTATTTGTTAATCTGAATAAAAACAGGCCAAAACTGTTGGTAGGTAATCAGTATTTTCATTATTAACTCTAGTGCAACATTATTACATTCAAATCTGTGCAATGTGAATATTTTATACACTAAAAGAAAAAAAATAGTACAATATCAATTTCTTCTACATATACAAGAACCGGTGCAATGGCAGTGTTTTCTATACATGGAAAAATGTGTTTCTGACTTTCCACATGTGTAAAAACTCACCAACACTTCTGTCTGTTATTTGTCTAATTTAGCATTTTCTATCATGTTGCCTCCATGTTTTGTCCTCTTTGCTGTGGCATGAATAAAGTGCTGTCTTATATATTTTTACAGTTTACGAATGCTACAGCATCCCCGGGTTTTATTTCTTGCCACCATTTTTTTTTTGTCTTTACAGTGCAGTAGGTTTAAAAAAAAAATCAGATGAAGAGGAGGAGGAGGAGGAGAACGAGGGAGGAGGAGGGATGAAGAGGAGAAATGGGGAGCAGAGATCAAAGCAGGATGTTTGATCGACGCTCAGGAGGAAGGCGAGGAGGAGGAAGAGCAGCTGGCGGGGGGACGGAGGGAGTCAGAGGGGAGGAGGAGCAGGGCAGGGAAACTTCATTAATGAGGAAATGTCAGATGAACAAAGGCAGACGGCGAGGCCTTCATCAGCACCAGGCCTGAACGCTGACCCAACACACACACACACACGGAGGCAGCAAAACCAAGTGTGTGTCTGCACCTGATTTACTGTGAGAACACACACACGCTGAAATAAAAAAAAGATGGAAAATAACACCATGCTGGCTGCACCTTCCTCCACCCTCCACTCCTCCACCTCACTACAGACATGCTCATGGAGGTTTGTTTCTATGTTTAGCTGCAGGGCGGCCACCTGCTTTTTATGCAAAACAAAAAAAAAACAAATTTCTGGCCGATCGTGCGCCAAGCAGTAATGATCAATATGTTGCTCGTTGTTTCGGCATGAAATTCTGCAACCGAAGCCGAGGATCTGGGCTGCAGACGGCGAGCCTGCAGGACAACTCTTGTCGACGAAAGACGAAACACACAAACGGCACTTTTGTGGGAAAACACAGCCGTGCACGGAGAGGTGAACCCGCAGGAGAGAGTTCCTCACGCGAGGATGCGGTCAAACAGTCAAAGACCTTCTTGTCATTCTCCACTACGAGTCTATCAATCAGTCGGGATGAAAAATGTGTCCTCTGGGAGCCGCACAAGACTTTAAATGATGAAACACACGCCATGAATTCAGAGTTTGAAGCTCAGGAGACAGAAATCTGTTGAATCCTTCAGAAATCAAGATAAGGAGGACTGTATGATTTATTATTGGGCTGGAACGCAGAACACACTGTAAGGTTTGTGTTACCTGTTTGGCTTTACCTGGATTTATAATTTGAAACTACTGCCCCATTTTTATTTAATTCTACAAACAAACATATACAAATGTACATAGATATACTCATGTATTTATTTCTTGTGTGTTTTATTCTTAATTCTTATTCATCTTATTATTGTTTTGGTGTGGAACAGGTGCACAAAGCATTTTACTGTGCGTTATAGCGTGTTTTACTGTGTTTGTGACCAATACAGGCCTTGAATCCATGAATCCTTGAATCAGTGGCTTTGAGCCCACGACTACGTTTCGCCGCAGGGCAATAAAGCACATCTCATCTCATCTCATCTCATCTCATCTCATCTCATCTCATCTCATCTAAGTCATCGAGCAAAAGCCAAAGAAAGAAAAACAACCAGAGAAAGAAGACGGCTTTTAGAGGGATTTAAGAACATTTAAAATAAGAAGAAAGACGCTGATAAATGTTCACAGAAATTAAAGAAAGAGGATTGAGCCTCCCGTCGGTTTGCCAGAAGACGGTCTTGGATGTGTTTTAGTGCAGATTTACGGTGTTTTGTCTGCATGTTAACATGTTTCACCTGCTTTTCCATCAGTGAGCTGCTGTGTGTCTGAGGATCCAAATCCAGCTCGACATGATCAACATTTTCTAAACTTGTACTGAACCAGAACTCCAGAACCTTAAACATGGTAGTGTACAGCAGCATTTAAAGGTCCATAATGAGCCCTTTTTGGCAAATAAAATCTCACATGTTCCCAGACTTTCTATTTTTCAGCTCAAAATGCTGCCAAGATGGCGGAGTCCCTGTCCAGGAAGAAGACTCTCTGAGCCTGGGATGGATGATGATTACACTCCATCACTTCTACCTTCTCTCTGATCGATCGTTTTAAATGAGTTTGTCAGATTAGTTTGGTGATGGTTCTGCTCGTTAACATGCAGTCTGAACGTATGCGTCTGTACTTTTTCTGTTGTCTGAAAACAGAACCGGGTCGGTCTGTGAATGAGAACAGGTTTACTGAACATTTAGTTTTATTAAAACGCAGTTACTGAGTTCAGACTGAACTGATTCCTGCAGAATGATGCATCCGTCCATAAGATTGAAACCTGTTACACGTCTGGCCTGAAAACAGCGTCGTGTGACTGCTGGAAAAACAATTAAATTGCTCTTTATTTGCATTAATATTGTGATGTGTGGATCTAGAATTAATTGTAAACACACTGCATGTATCTCTCTCACTCATAGACCCATAAATGAACAGATAGATGGACCTGTATGTGTTTATAAAGATGGAGAGGCAGACAGAAGTCGATACTCGCCTGTCAATCAGTCATCTGTCACAGATTGAAACCATGCACGGCTAAAGGAAAACTATCCGTATTGATCTTTACATCCTGATAGATAATTGGTTCGATATATAGACGTGTGGATGTTTATCTATCATAGACATGCACACAAACACTATGATGCACTCAGTTAATCTGCTCAAATCCAACGTTACTGCACAAGAACAGTCGGTTCTACTCCGAGTGTTCACGTGGAACAAAAATGCAGATGTTGTACGATGTGATCAAACTTTAAACCTGTCAGCTTGTGTCCTGCTGTCGCCTACAAATAGGAAAAAGAAACAACAAAATGCTCTGCAAAGGACGCAAGACGGAAACAACAGAGAAGAAAAGAAGCAAAAAGAAGGACAAGAGAGGACGAAGAACAAAGGCGGTAAATCATCACAGGATAAAGGAAGCAAAGCGCTGCTAAATGTCAGCGGCTTCCACACTCTGTTAGCTCTCCCTGATCCCTCTGCACCTCGCTGTCCTCTCCTGTTGCACAGAAACGGCTGCACACTGACATTAACTAGCTGTCAGGTGTTGTGCTAGCGCGCCGCCGCCGGCCCGATTGCTGGTGTCAGCCTCTTTAAGCATGAATGAACACTACACCTGTAGCTACATCAGCGCAGTCAGGCGCTCCGGCGGCTCTGCTAGCACGCCGCCCAGGCCGGCTAATGTGATGTCTTCTCTTGTTAGCTGTCAGTGCTATGCTAACGCCGGCCGGATGACAGCGCGTGCTCGCTAGCGTCGCTGTTAGCCTCCTGCTGGTGTCGGCTCGCATTTGTAAGAGTCCAGGTGAGCAGGTGTGGGAGGGAAGGTGAGGTAATATATCCCCGTTCGACCTTCTCAGACCTTCATAAACATGGTGGTTCGGTGTATTTTCAAAAACATGTCAATCCAGTGTGTCTGCAGCTCGTTTTTCTCTGTTTGGTTTCAGTGAAACCTCAGTTTTAATGCAAACCCTGAAACAAAACCTTTAAAAACTGTAAACCCAGCAGTGCTTTGGTTAGCTAGCATGTTGCACAAACTGGTAAACAGGCTGATTTAAATAATGACCACCACGTCAGTTTGTATTTTATGGAGTCCATTGAAGCCTTTTACTCAACTGGAAAAAAAAAAAAAAAAAGCTGCATTACAAATGTCCATGAGGGCTTTTTGGATCTATCATCAGCAGAACCACGTTTTTTTAGTGAATTCCAAATATGACCTTTTCAAAAACGATTCATACGACTGCTTCCTGTCTGCAAACAGCACTCACAGGCTCATACGTACACCGGATCAACAGCAACAGCTCCTCGGGTTTGCTTTGAGTAACTGTGAACCGATAAGTACAGGAATGGTTTTGGATATTTGAGAATTACCCCAAGACAACAACGTAGGTCTTTCAAGAACCCTGTCTCCAAAAAAAAAAAAGGATTTTCTCACCAAAAGTTAAGTTTGTTTTGTGAAAGGAGAGAATTCCAGTTTGAAAGAGCCACAAAGTCCATGTGAGGAAGTCAGCGGCCTCATTAC